AAAGCCCAGCCCTCAAGGACAACAGCCTATCCCCCTGTATTAGTTACCAATGTGATTTGGGTGGGAGGTGGTGAAAGCTGACCCTTATCAGGAGACCTGCTCCTCTGGGAACCTAGCGATACCTCATCCTCACTCAAAAAGTGTGAGTATCTGCCAGCGGGACCCACCTCCTGCCCTGGTCCCCAGCAGGTAGACAGGGAGAGCGGTACCCCCTAGGCCCCTGCTCCCTCCCCCACACACAGGGTCTTCTCCACTTCCAGGGAGAGGTCCCACCGTAGCTGAGGCCCCTTGGGCTGCACACCCAGGAGTCATCAAGGCCCCCTAGAAACCCAAGTCTTAAGGACTAATATGGGGAATGTGTGCATGCTAAGTTGCTCAGTCGTGTCCGACTCTGTGTGACCGCATGGACTATAGTCCACCACGCTGTCCGTGGGGATTCTCCAGGCAAGAACACTAGAGTGGGTTGCCATGCCCTTCTCCAGGGGATCTTTCCAACCCAGGAATCAAATCCACATCTCTTTGGTCTCCTGCATTGGCCGGTGGGTTCTTTACTACTATCGCCACCTGGGAAGCCTGTATGCACAGAGTAGAAGCTATAAAATAGGGAATCTTTCACCGAGGTCCCCCTATGCCCAGGCTTCCAACTCCTGCATTTCTCTTATTCTAAGGAGACAACCCCCTGGGGTGGTGGGTGCAGAAGGAGCCAGGACTAAGTAGAGAAGGGTGCGGGGCTGCACACCCAGACCCTTGAAGAGGGAGCAGGGAGTTGCCACAGAGACCCTAGGGGACCAGTCCAACACACGAGAGGCTAAGTGGGGACAGGTAATACCTCAGGCTGCAACCTGCAGCCTGGAAGTATGCAGACAGTTTTTGAAATTCAGACACTGACACTGTGTGCCCAGTGATCATGACCGAGTATGTATCCCATCTGTAAAATGGGATAATAATACCTGGCACAGAGGTTGTGAAGATGTTAACACAGAATGATTTCTGGTACATACATTGTTAGTAATAACAACGATTATAATAACTAGAAAGAGATTATGTGCCAGACCTGGTGTGGGCCGCGGGGAAGGCTCTGCTCTTGCAGGAAAGATAGTTAATCAACAGGTAAACCAAAATGATGAGTCAGAATTTCAGAGTGATAGCTACAAAGATAAGGAATAAAATAGGAAGGAGTAGAAACAAGACTTCTTGAGATAGGAGAGTGGTCAGGGAGTGTCTCTCTGCCCCGAGACCTAAATGAGGGGAAACAGGCAGAGGAGGGAGATGAATAAGCTTTCCAGGTAGAGGGCGCAGCTCGTACAAAAACCCTGTGACCGGAAAGAGGTTGGTGTGTTTATAGGAAAGAAGACCAGCGCTGCTTGGGTGTTGTCTGAGGCTGGTGGAACTTTGGAGTCCGAGGTGAAGTTTATTCTTGTTGCTCTATGTGCTGTGCTGTGTTTAGTCGCTCGGTCATGTCTGACCTTTGCAACCCCATGGACTGTAGCCCGCCAGGCTCCTCTGTCCATGGGATTTCCCAGGCAAGAATAGTGGAGTGGATTGGCATTTCCTTCTCCAGGGGATCTTCCAAACCCAGGTCTCCCACATTGCAGGCAGATTCTTTACCATCTGAGCCACCAGGCACAGAACTGATGGGGCTTTTTTTAGGGTTTAATTTTTAATGAGATTATTCTGTGTACTGAATGGGCTAGAAGGGACAAGAAGACAAAAAAATGGGGAAAGAGACCAGTTAAGGGACAGATGATCGGGACTTGGGCTAAAGCAGCAGAAGCAGGGTGGGCAAGGATGGCTGAATGAAGGATACATTTAGAGGTGAGGACTGTTAGAACAAACTGGTGAACCAGATATACGAAGTGACAGAAAGGGAGGAATCAAGGATGAGCCCCAGGGTTTAGATGCCAGTGAAGGGGCTTCCCAAGTAGCTACATACTATCAGGTATTTCACTCTCTGTAGGGTGATAGGAGGGCTTCCCTGGGGGCTCAGTGGTAAAGAACCTGCCTGCCAATTCCGGAGACTCTGGTTTGATCCCTGGGTTGGGAGGATTCCCTGGAGGAGGAAGTGGCAACCCAATCCAGTATTCTTGCCTGGAAAATTCCATGGAGAGAGAAGCCTGGCAGGCTACTGTCCATGAGGGTCACAAAGAGTCGGACACAACCGAGTGACTTAGCACACACACACAAGCGCCAGTTACTGAGACATAGACTAGGAGCCAGTTGAGAGGAGACCAAGAATTAGGGTTTTCAGGTCACATTTAAGGTGCCTGTGTAACCTCCAAGTGTAGGGGCCAGCTGGATGTATGATCATAGCTGGATATATGAACCTGGGCCTCCAAGGGAAGCTGGGGTGGAGGAGGATGTGGGAGTCCCAGACCCTCCCACACGCTGAGGACAGGAAGAGGAAGGGACCCAGGGGCATAGGAAGATGCAGGGTGTGATGTCAGCAACTCATGGAGGAGGGGAGTCCCCCGGTCCAGCTCTTGAGAGGTCATGGGAGGGGGGTGATGGCCCTGCTGGGGGAGCGGGGAGGGGAACAGGAAGTGAGCAAGCAGAGCCGGTGAGGGCTGGGAGTGCCTTCAAGTTTCAGCAGAGAAACAGGGTATCTGAGAGAGGATCAGCACAGCCCCCTCTTGAGACAGGCGAGAGGTGTGGGTTGGGGGAGGAAGGACAGGGAGGTAACGGGAAGTCTTCACACTGGGCCAGGCAGGACCTCGGTGATGGAGTAAGCTCAAGTCGCTGTCACCCAGGCCAAGTCAGGGCCAGACAAGGGATGGACACCTTGGGAGAGGTGGGGTATATTTCTCTATGCTGGCATTTTTCCTTCCTCCAGTGAAGCAGGGGGGAGGGGGCTGCAGGGTTTGTGACCCATCAGGGCCTCAGGGCCAAAGGCTCCGAGTCTCCTCCCTTTTCACAAGGGTACCACCAGAGGCCACATGCTTGACCACACATCAAAACCTAAGTTTCCAGCGAGAAGACCCAGGCCCAAGAAGGGTGGCTGACCTGCCCGAGGCCACACAGGATCCAGACAAGCACGTTCTAAATGATGGTCTTTCTTCTGATACAGTTCAGCGCACCTAGGACTTCGGGGTTGAACAGGGAGAGCTTGGCAGGGCTGCTCTTTGACATTTGAACCCACCTCTGGAAATTGCTGTTTGAGTTGTCCACCCTTCAGAGGCTGTCGTCCCCAAGCCTCCAGCCTTCCAGCCCAGCCGCAGCCCCTCCTCGGATCCCAGGTGAGGGGAGGCAAAAGTACCGCTGAGGTGAGTGGGCCATGGCCTTTTAAAGTGTGAAAAATGAAAGTCACTCAGTCATGTCTGACTCTTTGCGACCCCATGATTTCTCCATGGAATTCTCTGGGCAAGAATACTAGAGTGGGTTGCCATTCCCTTCTCCAGAGGATCTTCCTGACCCAGGGATGGAACCAGGGTCTCCCTGCAGGCACATTCTTTAACATCTGAGCTACCAGGAAAGCCCATTTTAAAATGTGTTGGAACTAAAGAGAAAGGGAGGTTTGGGGTGATACCAGGGGACTGTCCAAAGGGAGCCTCATCCTCCTTGGACGTGACTTCCTTGTGCCCCCACCTCTAACATACACTTTCTTCCCCCGCCCGCCCCACTGCAGCCTCACCCCCAAAACCGGCACCCCCAGGAGTGACACCCACTGCCCACGCCTGCCCCTCTGGCCCTGCTATGTATGACTTTGACTTCCCCAACCAGCCAGCCCCCAGCCAGCCTCTTCTCTCCTCCCTCTTCTAATTCCACTCCAGACCCAAATTAACCTTGATGCGCCCAGGGAAGGATCTTTTCAACCAACAAGCCTGGACCTGGTGGTATATGGCACCTCCTCCCCACCCAGGGCAGCCTGCCCTCCCCTGAGCAGTCAATCCCCATTTACCTTGATTCCTGCCCAGCCCTGACCTTTTCCTATCTCTCCCAATCCCTGTATCATCAAATAACATCTTATTTAAATCCAGGAACTTCACAGGATGGTTTCTAGTAATGAAATGGCCCCAGAATCTCCCTCCCATAAGCTCTGGCCAGACCTCCCACCCCCCAGCTCAGATGACACTGGGGTGCTCAGCCTTGGCTTTCAGAGCAGGAAAGCACCAAAAACACCCTCCCATTTCTCCTTAGCTTTGGAGCTAGACTCTCAGTGTGAATTCCACCCTCTGCCAGGCTTCCTCCAGGCCCACACTCCAAATGAGCTCACTTTCAAAATTTAGTGACCAAATAGTATTGCTTCCATCTCTGGCTTGTAGCTGCAGATCTCCAGCTTCTCTCTCACACAGAGTCTTGAGTCTTTCTCACTGAGATGAACACATTTCGAAGTTTGTCTGACAAAAGACTACATTTGTTTCTTTCTGAACTCAGAGTCTCAGAGCTGAGGATTGGGCGGACATTAGGCAAATGTGTCAGGATGCAACCACCATGTTCATACTTTGCCCCAGTAAGTTTCATTCCTGGGAATGTATCTTAAAAGAAAAAAATACAAAATATAGGGGGGGAAAGCCAACATATAAAGATATTTATTGCAGCTCTATTTATAGCTAAAATAAAATGCATATATATATATATATATATATAAACAAACATCCAACAAGAAAATGTCATGCAGCCATTTTTAAAAAAAGAATTCTACATCAACACTGAAAAATATGAGAAAAAAGTAGAAGTTAAATACACATTTACAGTTTTGTAAAGAAAATAAAAAGTGCCCATGGGAGTTGGGGGGGGGCTGTTATTTTCTTTTTCTCAAAATTTCCCCTTATAATTTCTTTCAAAGCTGCCAGCAAAGTGGTGCCATCCTAAACCTCCCCCAAAATCTAATGTAGGAAAGAAACCTTGAATAACCCTCCCTTAGGAGAAGAAACCGTTGGCTGGATCTGCTTGGTGCTTAGGATGGAAGTGCAGCATGAAATGGGGGTCTTAGGGAGATGTGATGGGAAAAGTCGGATTCTTCTGTGTGTTCAGATTAGTCTCTTAGATGGGAGGACAGGGAACTAGTGACCATCAGGCAAAGAATCATGAGGACAAAAGGGATGTCGTGTGTGGACCGGCTCTTCCAACCACAAGGCACTGTCTACGAGCAAGTTGGGGCCAAGGAGGGGCGGGTCAGCCAGAACCCAGACTTGGGGTCTCAGGGAAGCCCAGCATGAGCCCCAGTGGCTGTTCATCACCTCTTGATCAACCAAGGTTTCGCTGTACTCAGGGAAGCCCTGTACTGCTGGCCAGGAGTGAAACAGGATCTCCCTATGCTGAGCTGAAACAGGCTCACCTCTGCCCGCAGGCCCCTCTTCCACCTGCCACATGGAATGACCCAGAATCACCCCACCCCCTGGGCTCACCCTGTCACTGTCCGCACTCATCCCTCAATTCTCCCTTTTTCAGGCCAAATGCCTGTGTCTCGCAGGGTCCATTGCCCAGTCCAGACTGTCCACCACACCGGTGCTCTCTTCTGGATGCCCCTGTGTTTTGAGGGAAAAAAAAACCCAGAGAGAGGGGAACAGTGCCCATGACAAAAGCCCTGTGACCCCTCTGATGATCATCTTCCCCGCTCAGCCTTGGACAGAATTTGCTTTTCCAGCAACTATGCCTCGCTAACTGATCTTTGACCTTCCAGTCAATCAAACCACCCTTTTTTTCATCTGGTTTACAATCCTTATCGAATGTTCATGCAGGTGATGTTTCAAAGGGGGGAACTGCCTTGTCTACACCCAATGCTAGGACCTCCCGATTGGGGCACTTAAACCTCTCTGGGGAAGGCTGAGAACAGTCATGTCAGGGGGAAGGAGACGCAAGACAAAAGGACATTATTACGGTGCTTTTTCCGTTTTTCTTTTTGCACAAAAACAGTCCATTTATTCAAGTGTTCTCCAGCACAAGTACATTAGAAAGGAGCTTTATTATATTCTTCTGGGCACAAAAAAAAATGTGATGAAGGCGGAATTGACAGACTTTCTACATCTGCTGTACGCACTGACCTCTTTATAATTATTTCATAACAGCTATGTCACGAGCATCACTTACACAGAGATACAACAGGACATGGGGGCATGGCGGTGGGGACCCACGCAGGGCCTTCTCACACCCCCTCCCCGATGTCCCAGAACCAGACTGTGAAATGTACATTATTATTGTCAATAAATAGAGAAGCAACCCTAAAAAAAAAAAAAAAAAAAAATACAGTGGTGAAAGGATGCTGGAACCAGGAAGAAAAAAAAACAACAACAACAACAAAGAGTCAGAAGAGGAACTGAAGAAAAAGGAAAGAGGGCCGGGAAGGGAAGGGTCGGGGAGTAAGTCCTGCATTTAGCTGCGTGGAATGTGCAGTCAAAGTGCTCTCCCGCCGGGGTCAAAGCGAAATCGTCTGTAACAGTAAAAGTTATTACCAAATCAGCTACGGAGTTTATTCTTCAGTATGAATACATGATTTCCCACAAATAAGTAAGCACCCGCTACTTCAATGCCTCAGCTAAAACACATGAAATCGTTCATTTAGTTTTCAAGTACAAAGTTAAAATGCCTTTTTAATAATAATATATCAGAGTAAAATAATAGTCTCTTTTAAACTCCACTACAAGAAAACAAAACAAACAGTCATTGTCCAGACAGCAGACTTAATTTAACAATATATATTTTTAATAAAATGTTTTAGCACCTTGTTGAGTCACCTCCTCCCTCTGCGTATTCTAAGGAATTTCGGTATTTTTGTGGTTGGTTGGATTCTAGGGCTGTGCTACCAAATCAGTCTGTGAAGTGAAATGGGACTCAGGTGATGCTTTCGGATCCCTGCTCATGTTCTCGGGCCCAGGGCTGGAGGCCATGAGGAAGCCGCCCTCCCATGCCCCTTGGGGAAGTTTTCCAGTTAGGGGAGTTACAGGAGTCTGGGGGCTTCCGTCAGGGCAATTTAGCCAGTCATGACCAGCCAAGGACCTTTCATCCTTGTCCTCACTGCTTCTGACCTGCCTGTCTGTCCCTCTCCCCTGGACTCCACTGTTGAGGGCCAGCGGTAAACAGGAAGCCAACCACAGGCCTGCTCAGCCGGGTCTCAGGAACACACAGTGCAAGAGGGTCTGACCTCACATCCTAGAGACCCCGGCCTTCCTTTACCAAAACGTAAAGATCCAAGAGCTTCTGCTAGAACAGTGGAGTCCATCCTTGATATAAATCTATCCTCTTTCCTCTTAGATCCTCCAAACACTTGTGGTTAATCCTTGCTCCAGCAGGTCCACACCACCCCTCCAGAGGTGGAGGAAAAGAGAGCGGGACAACTCCAGTGTCCTCTCTTGACCACAAGGGCTGGAAGCGTCCAAACTAGACCCTGCCCGATGACAAATTCAGATTCCTCATCTCCCAGGATCAAAACAGGGCCTGGCTAGAAACCCAGTTCTCACCAGCATCTGGGCTCTGCTGACCACAAGTAACAAGCAGCTCTTGTCAGATCAGATCGCAGTGCCAGGCAGGTCCCATGGCCCTAACCCTGCAAGTTCCCTGAAAATGACACCTCTTAAAGACACCATTGCCACAGCATCTCTGCACCAGGCAGGACAACAGGAATTCAAATCCGCCTCCAAGACCCACTTTATATATAACTTATGTCATCAGTGAGATGAAGACTAAGACCACTCCCTGGATGGCTCTGCTGAAAGAATCCTTCCCTTGCTCCTGTTGTACACCATCCTGTGCTGGAGATGGTGGGCTATTCCCATCGAGGTTTCCCCAGAATTGCCAGTTGCTCGGGAAGTAGGGGGAGACTAGTTCAATGTCCACTAGCCTTCCTTCCTGCTGGGTCGGCCTGTCCCAATCTGCAAACTACAAACTCATCAAAAACCCACACAGGCACCTTCGCCAGCCAACCTCTCCCAGGCCCGTCTCAAAAGCAAAGCAGCCCCCTGTACTCTTTTGGGGAAGTCTGCTTTCTAGAATGTTCAACAGCAGGAAGGTTCTGGGGTCTCTAAAGAAAAACAGACAGTGGCACACCCAGGTGGCTGTCTGCAAGACCCCACCAGCCTTCACCCTCAGCTCCCCAGCCTATGCTCTTCAGCTGGTCCCCAGGGAAGGGGGTCAGCACCAACCAGCTCGAGGCCCCCAGAGCACAGCAGCTGCTGGCCAAGTACCAGCTTCCTCTGTGGGCAGACAACCCCCAGCTCTGTGACCCCGGCCAGCTCCCCCAGCCCAGAGCCACGGATCTCTTTGGCACCACACTCCACTTGGCACCTGCAGTAAGTAAGGGGTACCACCCTAAGTCCCTGGAAACCCCCATTTCCAGGAATTTGTAAATAAGCCTGCTCAAGAGAAACAAAACTCCACCGAGAACATGCTCCAGAATTTTCCAAAGGCCTTCCTGGTTTCTCCCACTGCACTGCCTCTACCAATGATCCCCCACCTTAATCCACACACGACTTTGACTCGGCCTATCCAAGCACAGCTCTCCTTTAGAAGGTATCCCCAGAGGCACCCTGGGGGTTGGAAGGAGATTGTGAAGAGCACCCCAGCCTGGCCAAGTTGGCACATTCCCAAGGTCCCCTTGGGACCTGCCAAGTTCTACTGTGGGACCAAGCCCCTGGGTGTGGCTGGAAGAAAAGCTGGCGATTGTTAATGCTCATCCCTGCAAGGGGGCCTTTGGCCAAGGCAGGTTGCCAGACCAGGAGGAACAAAGATCAGCCACAACAAGCAAGCTGGCCCACGCTGACCCCTCAGGGCTTGCCACATCCCTGGCTACTAAGTTTCTTCCCCACGCTCACTCCCTGGATGGAACCTGGGCCACTGGGAAAAACAAACCCCTGCACACAGCAGCAGACACATGGCCTAGGAGAGCCAGAAGGTCTGCAGAGGAAGAGACAGTCCTAACACAGGCTGGGAAGACCTTAGCGTCGGCCGCCGCCAGGGGAGGGAGCACCTTGGACTGTCTGCGCAGCCCTCCTCCCCCGCCCTCCGGAGTGGTGCTGGTGGGCTGCGGGCAGGAAGATGGAGCCTGGCTGGAGAAGGAGGGGGGCGGGGTGAGCACCACAGTTAGGTACAGACTCCAACGAGGGAGGGGCAGAGGGAACCCCCCCCCCCCAGCTGCTCCAGCCCCGTGGGAGCCCACCATCACCACCTGCCATCACGGCACGGAGCTGGCAGGAAGCAACCGGGTATGATCTTAAAAACCAATCTGACAAGGATATGAGTAGCTTGAGGTGTGGGACTAAGCACCCCCTAAAAGGAGTGGGAGACCATGGCCACCAGCTGTGAGCTTACTCCTGAGCAATGAGCAAGGGATTCAAAGCTTGGTTAATTTTTTTTTTTTTTAACCAATTACTAATTTGCTTTGTTCCAAAGATGAGGTTCGCTGTCCCATTTCTTTCCAATGGAAGCCCCCTGGCCAAGACAGCCCTGGACGTCAGTTTCATTTTGGACGGGGGGAGAATAGGTAGGGGGAGCTGAGGGCTGACTTGACTGGTGCCTAGGGTTGCAGGTCAGTGTCACAGGTTGCTAACAGAAGAATCTTTTGACATCACCAGGGGCAAAAGAGATAGAACGCTACCTGCTAGAGGAGAGCACCTGCTAAAAGAAAACCTCCTCCTTTTCCTGTCTTCAGCACCTAGCAACTTCTGGGATTGACAGTCTACCTGCAAACAGGGCAACAGAGGTAAAGAGCTGCAGGGCCGACTCCGCAAAGTCCTGAATCCTGGGGAGAAGAGCACTGGGAGCTCCCTGGTTGTGTGTGTGTGTGTGTGTGTGTGTGTGTGTGTGTGTGCACGTGCATTTGTTATGCATCGGTATAGAAACATGTTCCTGTGTGTGTGTGTGGGACTGATTGATTGGTGTGGGGCTTGTCTGCAGTGGGGCCCGAGACTCAGCCTTCTGAGCCTCCTTCCCCCACTCCCCACGACATAATATTTCTTATACATGACCCTATCTATGTATTTATATAGCGCCTATCACCATAGGCCCTATCTTTCTAGGGATGCGAACATGGGACCATGTGCTTGACAGCACACCTCCCAGCCCTGCCAGTCCCAGGAGGTGCCATTCCCCCCTCCCATTATAAAATATATATCTCTATATGCCACATATCTACACCCCATCTATTCAGGCAGGCGTCTGCCCGTTGGGCCCTCACCCTGGAGCCACCCACACCAGCCCTGCCTACCGCCAACGCCAGGCCGCCTGCCTCGGTGGGAAGCGGAACCAAGTGCCGTGCACTTGGGGCTCCAGGTGCTGCCGACTCGAGGTAAGAGCACAGCTTTCATCAGACCAAGTACTAGAAAAAAAATACACACCACTCCGATCACACACGCGAGGAGAGAGGGGCCTGGTCCTCCCTCCAGCCCTGACACACGTGACTCGAGAGGAGGGAAGCAGAAGAGAAGAGGGATGCGCCCGGAAGGCCGGCCTCGGGGACCCCCCCTGGCCGCTCAGCTGTTGCCCGCCGCGCCTGGTGGCCCACCTGGCCCGAGGGGTGGGGAGCCAGGGCACCAGGGCCACCACTAACTTAGAAGCACCCTGCTCCCCGCACCTTGGTTTGAAACCTAAAGGGAGGGGGGGGTTGGGTTTTTGTTTTCTTAAAAGAAAATCTGAAAACAAACATAATTATAACCAGAACCATAAGAATAATTATAACAAAAGGTGTCATCAGCCTCCCAGTATAAAACTGCAGCCTTTGGAGATGACCAAAAACATCACATTCCAGGGGCCGGAAGCCGCCTTGTGCACAGAGGGTGGATGGTGGGGGCCTCATAAAAGAACACACAAAAAGCGACTTAGACAGGAGAGCACCAGTACGTTTTGTATGTTTTTTTATTTGCTCCAGGTGGGGTCTGAACTGTCACTTGCCCACACTCTGGATTTTTTTTCTGATCCCACCGCAAGGAGCCCTCGAATCGGCTAATGTGAGAAATTGGGAATGAAGACCCCTCATCCTGCCATCTTGCCGAGGGAGTCTCCTTTTTGAAAAAAATCAAAAGGTTATTGCGTGAGCCTGGATGGATCCCACTCTCAGCTTTCCACGGTCCCAACCACCGAATCTCACCCCCCTTTTTTGGCAGGGAGAAGCGGGAGAACGCTGTTCCCAAATTCTCCTTCACACCTTGTTAAACACCAAGGGGAAATCAAAAAACCCCACCACGGAAACGGTTCACCTCCAAGCTGTCTCCCTTTCTCCATCCTTGGTTAAAACCCTTTGCACATAAGGCAACGTGGAAGCTGATGTTTTTACTCATCTCGCTGTTGTAAAGCACCATTATGAAGTCGGGTTGTACAGTAGTTAACAGTACCTTTTATATATATATCTCATTTCTATCATATATATATAAACTGTAAACAAGAGGTAACAGCGGCTTCTAGAAACTGATTTTCTTCAAGGTTTCCTGTGTGGTAGGCACCTGAATACTGTATAAAAGGGTCTTGTGTGGTGTTCTCGTCTCTCTGCTGCTAGTTGGGTTGTGATCTGCATGACCAGGAATGGTGCTGGCAAGACAGCTCAGTGGCTGGGAGGGGACTCTGCCACCTGAGTGTCTGTTTTCTGTCCCCTGCTTGTGCTCCTATCTGATCAGGCTAGAGACAACAACAAAAAAAAAGATATATAGTAAAAAAAAAAAAAAGAAAAAAAAATCCAATATATAGATTTCTATAGAATTTCCTTTTTTTCCTTCTCTCCCATCTTTCCTCTGCAAGGTATGGTTACTATTTTTTGTAACTGATTCTTTTTTTTTTTTTTTGCTGCAATAAACCCTCTTGTTTCAGTCACAGCAAGAAACAAAAACCCAAACAAACAGAAAACCCCTCTGAAAAGAGTAGAAAACAAAAGGTTTGACCAGAAAAAAAGGGGGTAGTGGGGGTGGGGAGGGAGCTTGGTTTTGTTTTTAAATAGGATTGAAGATTAACATCGAAAAATCAGGAGATGATGTCCAACCCTTTTTGCAAGGCAAAGCCCTCCGGAATTTCCGCCTCTGTGGGGTTTGTTTGTTTTGTTTTAAATTCCTTTTTCTCTTCTGGGTGCTGATACTTCTCTCCATCCTCACGTTGTTGGTGTTCTGTTGTGTTTTGTGTTTTTTGTTTGTTTGTTAAACCTTGTGTCACTAACTTGGTTTGCCCTCACGTCCCTTACACACAAGCAAAATATTCCTTCAGCGGAGCGAAGAGGTGGCGGATGACCGGCACGCTCCACGACCGGCCCAGCAGTCTCTGCCTCGCCAAGCGGCTCATGTTGGAGACGTCGGTATAGTGGACAGGGAAGCCAAACACCCTGGGGAGAAAAGGCAGAGAGGGGCAGGGGTCAGCGCCAGCCTGGGGCGATCCTGTCTGTGATAACTAAATCAAGTCTCAGGCGCCTGGCTACTTTATGTGGGTCTGAAGGCAAGTTAAGATGATGACTGCCGAGATTTACCATACAGCGGAAACAAAGCTGTGTGTGTGCTCAGTCGTGTCTGACTCTGCAAACCCCATGGACTGGACAGCTCACCAGACTCCTCTGTCTATGGGATTTCGCAGGCAAGAATACCAGAGTGGGTGGCCATTTCCTCCTTCAGGGGATCATCCCAACTCAGGGATCAAACCTGCGTCACCCGCGTTTCCTGCATTGGCAGGTGGATTCTTTACCACTGACCCACACGGGACGCCCAGAAACAAAGTCAGTGTTTGTGAAAAACCCATCTAGGACACGCTTCACCTGAGACTGAGACCCACAGTGGGCATCTCAAGTCTGTCATAAATACACATCCCTATATCCCCCCCCTCCCCCGCAGAGGAGGGAAAACTCTGCAAGGGCTCCCAACTCATGCCTGACGCCAGGAGTTCCTGCTTGCTCTGGTTGTGTGTTAACTGTCTCTTTGTTTGGCTAAATTGCAGTTACCCCAAGAAAAAGGACTCGAGTCCAGTCTGCACAAACGAGGGCACTGAAGCTATAAGGCCCATCTGCTCCCGGGCTGTCTTGGTCTACAAAGAACCTAACATGAGCAGCATGAAGCAGGGAAGCCGGGTCCCTCTTGGCCTCCGGGTGGCGGGACTGGCTCTGCAGCTGCAGTGTCTCTTTGGAGTTGAGCAGGACCACTGGGAGCCAAGGCACTAGGGACAGATTCCTAGATGCCCCCTACTTTAGCCCAGCCTCACAACGCAGAGGCATCAGCCATGTTGGGAAATGCCTGGGAAGACAAACCCACTGCTCACGGGATGTCTGCAAGGGATCTGAGCCTGGCACAGAGGCTGGGATCCCACCCCCCACCAGCACAAAGAGTGGGTACCTTTCCATTTCAGTGCACCATAAGATGTCCTCTTTCTCATTCATGAAGACGGGGAAATGCTGGTCTTTGCCCTGCTTTATGGAGTTCGACCTAGTAGTAATGGTCCTCACTTTGCTGAACTAGAAGATGGGAGAGGAAACGGAAGATGAGCACTCATCAGCAGCTGACAGCGACTGCCATGTCCAAGGCCTACAAGGCCTGCTTCATCCAGGAGCCAGGGTTGCCCTGCTCTTCCTCCTACACAGAGGGTACCTGGCCATCCTCACTCCAATCCTGCTGGCCAAGGACTAGAGAGACAACAGCTTGAGCCACTGTCCTTCCCAAGTCTTCTAAGAAATGTTTTTCTTCCCAGGAGTAATGATTTACAGGCAAAAGGATGCCGAATTACCCAGGGGTGCAAAGACACCCCTGGGGTGCCAGCAGTCCCAGGAGATTTCTCCAGAGAGAAATGGAACTGCCACATCATAGGAGAATCTGCTCTGAAGGCTTGTGCAATGATGATCCTGGCCTGGTAATTCAAAAGCCCAGGGATCTTGGCCAAGACTTCTTAGCGTCTGCCTCCCACAGGACCAGCAGGGCGACACTCAGCAAGGATTCTGACCTCTTCCCCTGCCCTTCAGGCTTTCCCCCAGACCCTCCCCGTCTGGCCAACTACAACCCCGAGTTACATCCTCCGCAGGCAGCACACAGCCCTGGTGCTGCTCCAGCGCATCCTGCCCTTCTCCTTATCCCTAGCAGAGGGCTTTGATGCTGGGGCTAACCTTGGCTATTCGGCCGTGCTCCAGACACTCCTGCAGCTCCAGCTTATCATTCACAGTGGATGCCAATGGCCTAGGAGGCAGGAGAGAGAGGGTAACGACCGAAATCAGGAGAATGGCAGGGATGTACTCTCAGCACTGACCCAGCAGCCATCTGATTCACATAGAGAAGTAAAGAACCCCCATCAAGCTCCCTCAAACACAGGCACAGACACTGTGGCCACTCACAGACATAGGGCCATGAAGCATCAAATCCTTTAAGGTAAACTCAAAAGTAGTCCCAAACTACAAATAAACAGATAACGCCTGCCTGCCAAGAGGGGAAACACCCAATTATTTTTAAACCTGTTCCCTAAAAATAGACTGCACCTGAAAAGTACTCATCACAAAGCAAGCTTTGGCATGACAGAATGTTCTGTATTTCGACTATGGTGATGGTTACAGGTATGTACGGTGGATGACACTCATCAAACTGTACATCTTACATGTACAGTTAACAAGAACTTAAATTCTGCACAGTCCCCAGAAGACTAAAACTCTGTGACACTCAACGTGTCACTTTTCAGACGGCAGACGAGATCACTAAGTATCACTTTAGGTGATAGCCTTTTCTGACATTTAGGATTACTTACTAAAGGTTTCACATAGTGGTCCACCACCCAGGACCCATGGTCAAGTTGCACCTCCAAACTCCTCTCTGTTTATGTGCACATGTGCACGCACGCACACACACACACACACACAGTGTACTTTGTCTCCTTGTGCTTGTACTTTGTCCCCTGCAGTACTTCCACTCCTCCTGGAAGCTCAGAGTTCTAAAATTTTAGGCTTGGAAGAAGCAGGTAAGAAAATCCCACAGGCCCAAGGTCTGTCAGGAGATAATGACTTAGTGGCTCTATACTAGACTACATAAGCCCATCCACTTTATCCAATATGCACAAACATCCTGGGAAGGTTGGGTGGACACCAAGACAGTTTTTAGGTCAGCTACCCACTGACCCACCTCCTTCCGAGCCACAAGCCCTCGAGAAAGACAGCTTTGCCAAACAGGTCTGAGACTGGGAAGTTCCTAAAACCTCCTGCTATTGGCAGAGAGGCATAGTAGATGACCGAGATCAGGCTAAATGGTTCATCTAATTTACAAGGAAACCATGGAGATTTAAAATCCACATTTGGGGGTGGAGGCGGTTCAGGAGGGAGGGGACACATAGCCTATGGCCGATTCATGCTGATACATGGCAAAAATCATCACAACAGTGTGACTATCCCCCAATTAAAATAATTTTAAAACAAACTTAAAACATTCTGGAAAATACTTCTCTTTGTAATATATGATTGCAATTGGGGGAGTCTCCCTCTGCTTTTGAACCGCTGACTCTCAACCAGAATTCTTTTATCCTCATAAAGTGAGTGAAGTCGCTCAGTCGTGTCCAACTCTTTGCGACCCAATGGACTGCAGCCTGCCAGGATCCTCCGTTCATGGATTTTCCAGACAAGAGTACTGGAGTGGGTTGCCATTTCCTTCTCCAGAGGACCTTTCCGACCCAGAGATTGAACCTGGATCTCCCACACTGTAGGCAGATGCTTTACCTTCTGAGCCACTGGGGGAGAAACCTGGTGGTTTCTTCTCATAGGCCTTTTTATAATATGACTATTACACTGAAGAAATGAAATTTTCTTCGTTCCTGGACATTAACGTCTCTGTGCAACCTACACAAAGGGCATCTTCCCAAAAAAGGACTCGATGCCAACAATGTGCATGAACAGTAAGTGGAGCAGGATGCTCTAAGCTGTGTGGTGCCTGCTGTTTCAAGATGCTGTCTCTGCACGTGCACCCCAATGTTCATCATAGCACTGTTTATAATAGCCAGGACATGGAAGCAACCTAGATGCCCATTAGCAGAAGAATGGATAAGGAAGCTGTGGTACATATACACCATAGAATATTACTCAGCCATTAAAAACAATTCATTTGAACCAGTTCTAATGAGATGGATGAAACTGGAGCCCATTATACAGAGTGAAGTAAGCCAGAAAGATAAAGACCATTACAGTATACTAACACATATATATGGAATTTAGAAAGATGCTAATGATAACCCTATATGCAAAACAGAAAAAGAGACACAGATGTACAGAACAGACTTTTGGACTCTGTGGGAGAAGGCGAGGGTGAGATGTTTCAAGAGAACAGCATCGAAACATGTATATTACCTAGGGTGAAACAGATCACCAGCCCAGGTTGGATGCATGAGACAAGTGCTCGAGCCTGGTGCACTGGGAAGACCCAGAGGGATTGGGTAGAGAGGGAGGTGGGAGGGGGGATCAGGATGGGGAATACATGTAAATCCATGGCTGATTCATGTCAATGTATGACAAAAACCACTACAATACTGTAGAGTAATTAGCCTCCAACTAATAAAAATAAATGAAAAAAAAAAAAAGGAAATATATATTTTAAAAAAAAAAGATGCTGTCTCTGGAGCCGGTGTGGCCCAGCGGCAGGCACCACTCTTTCCCATTCCCAAACACATCCTCCATGGCTTTACCTCAGGAAACTAAGGACTAGCTGACTCTCGACACATCACCAGTACAAGAGAACCAACCCTGTAACTCAGCAGCACAATACACGGTCTTCTGTGTCAAGAATGTGTTTTTTAAAGGTCCTATCTGGGACCACTAGTTTTTCGATTCTCAGCCAAGTTATTTTCTACACCCTGACTCCCCTTCTTCCTCAAGGAAAAGCAAAGACAAAAAACTTGGCAGAGCAGCAAGCTGGTCTGCAGGGGAGGCTGGTCACCCCTCGCGCCATCGTCCTGCCTGCAGACACCCACCCGTGGCCACCCAGGCACGGAGCTCTCACCAACCTGTTCATACCAGGAAGGTTCCCCCAGAAGTAGCGGGCCCTGTGCGCAGCTGACACTTCTTTGGCATCAATCATCACAGGGTTGGACTATGAAACAGGAGAGAGAGAGAGATGAATATTATAGCGTGCCAGGAAACTTATTAGTTTAGAGCCTCACAGGCACTCACTTCTCTCTCAAGAGGCCACACTGTGACAGCCTGAAGCTCCCTGGAAAAGCCAGAATCAAACTCAGCTACATTCCACATGCTCCCACAGGAACATTCTAGACCCGCACATGGTCCACAATGCCAAGATGGAGATGTTCTATCTGCACTGTTCCATGTCCACTAGCCACCAGGTGCTGAAAGTTGGGTACTTGAAGAGGCTGGTGCGACTGGGGAGTTTTAACGTCAGTTTAAATGCCGCATGTGGCAGATGTCCACCTCGTTGGACCACACAGCTCCAGCTAACCCAGAGGCTTTGGGAAAAAACATTCCAACAAGTATGGACGTCTTTACTGCATGTCCAGATAATGAGCCAAACAGACGCTTGCTCCAACGCAGTCAACACCAGCTTGACGGGTCTGACCCCAAGACTTGGGCATACAGACTGCTCAGCCAGAGAAGGACTCTGGCCCAGAAAACTTCTGCACAGGCCCAAACTGGGCTCAGCCAAGTTGGGACCCACATTACTGGAAGTAAAAACTGAGAGAAACCATGTTTTCTTCCCAGGTGGCGTAAAGCACCCATCATGGTGCCTGGGAATAAGCACAAACCATCCTGGTTCGGAAAACTGATTCTGGCATCTCAAAAGGTTCCCCCAGGGAAACAGCACACAGACCTCCCAGCCAAGGAGTCTGGCACTCCACCTTGCTTATGACAGTCAGGTCCTCCATGCTCTGAGGCCACACTGACATACCACCTCTTAAGAGTGAGGCCACGGGTTCTATCAGGGGTGGGCTTCCTCCTCGCCTACTCGGGAAGCCCAGAGCTTACCAACGGGCCCCTTGCAAAGCAGAAGTCCCCAGTCCCCAGCTCCACAATGCAGATGAGATAGGGATAAAGCAGCAGTCCAAGGTAGAAGCCATTAGTGAGCTGGCCAAACCAAGGGTGCTGGCTATACCTCAAGAAATCGCGAGATGTCCCTCTTGTCACTAACGCCCATGGCCACCACATTCTCAAAGAGCCAGAAGAAGGGGCGGTCATCTCCCTCCTTGGGCCGCGCATCATGCAGGAGGCGGTAGAACTCAAAGAAGAGCCGGCCAGTGCCCTCTGAGAGGTCGGAAGAGAAAGCCATCAGCTGGGGCTGTCTGCAGGAGACAGTGGTGTGGCTCGGGCACGGGGAGGGTGGGGTCGTTGGGAGTAGCCGTCCCAGGGCAGAAATATCCAAAGAGGAAACCGATGTGCGGAAGCGCCAGCTCAGGAGGCGGAGGGGTGACGAGCCACCTACCGTAGAGTCCCTTGCGGGCGGGGTTGACGATGGAGAGATCATTGCAGGGACTGCCCCCAATCACCAGATCGAACGGGCCCCACTCCTGGATCTGGGAGGATAAAGGTAATGTGATGGGCCTGATGTCCGGGGACAGAGGCGGAAAGGAAGAGAGAAATGATCTGTGAAGTTGGCAAAAAAAAGTACTTTGCTTGGGAGAGAAGAGACCCGAATGCTTTGTATGCTGTCTACACACACATACACACTTCTTCCAGCCATGGCCAAGTTACTGAGGCTCTCTGGGCCCAGTTTTCCAGATAGTAAAGTGAAGCGACTAAACTGGGGATCTAGGAGGCCAGCAAGGAAAACAGCCGTGCAGAGACAGCAGTCCGGGCTGCGCCAGATGAAAGGGGCCCTGGGCCCTCTGAACCCTTCCAATGCCCTTCAGGGGCTGGGATTCAAGGTCTACATGTTTACCTGGAAAGGCAAGAGGGCCACTCAGAGAGGACCCCACTACTCTCGACAAAATGCAGGCTGGAGAAGCTGCAGTGGCTAGCAGTGCCAGGAGGACGGGATCCAACTGTACCCCACAGCGCTTCACTCAAGGGGGTCCAGAAACCAGCCAGGGAGAAGCCCAAGCCCAAAAGGCCTGGCTTCCCAATCCCCAGTGGAACCTGCCCAGCCTCTTGAGACAAAAGAGGGAGAGTTCAAGCGGGGAGAGGAAGATGAAAGCAGTGGGCGCCGGCCCAGGAGCTGAGTGACTTGAAAAGGGGGCGGACCCAGGAGCTGAGCGAGGTATAGAAGGGGGCGGGTCCAGGGGCTGAGTGCCATAAAGGGGCAGGCCCAGGAGTTGAGTGACGTGGGGGGCGGGTCCAGGAGATGAGTGACGTGGAGAAAGGGGCGGACTGCGGCGCTGACGTACATGCTTCTGTGTAACGCTGCGGACGTCCCCGACGTACATGATCTTCCCCTGGTGCCGCACCATGCCCACAGTGATGGAGTCCTCACACACCTCGGATGCGATGTAGCGGTCCACCTGAATGCCCAAGTCCTTCAGCACCAGAAGCCCTGTACCAGCCAGCAAAAAGCAGAGTCACTGGGTCACCTGCCCGGCACCCTGGTCTTTGCAGGGGGTCCCTGTGGCCAGCCGGACACGTGGGTCAGAGTCAGGCCCAAGCCCCACCCTGCCCAGAAGGCTGCCCGGAGACTTCCGGGTCAGATTGGAATTATCAGTAACAAGGACATTGAGGCTGTTACCGTTGAGGCTGTCTCATCCCTAATTGGATCTATTCAGAAAACATTCCAAGAAGGACATTCCAGGGCTTTCCGGAACGAGGGGAGAACAACAGCTCACTCTCGAGTGGGCTTTCCTTTGCTATTTCTGTACACGGGTCCTTCCTTGGCCCTTAACATCATGCTGCAATTCAGCCATCCAACAATACTCAATGTAAACACCTAATGCTCTAAAAAGGTTTCACTGATGCCCACCCTATTCCATGGCCCCCTGGATGGCCTTCCCACCTCTGTGAACCCCCAACACTTGGGCACCCTTCTCCACCTCAGAGGACCACGCATGCCTGATCCAGCCCTTCTCTTGGGTCTTCAAGGCAGAGTGGGTGGTCTCATTGAATGTGCTTCCTCCTGAGCTAACCAGTATTCACGCTTCCTGACCAGGACCCTTCCACAAACGCTGGCTGGAACAGACCAGCGTTCCGAGAGGCCCTGAGAACTTCAGGAGACTCTGTATGATCCTCCACTGCTCCCAGCAGATCTGCTCCTAGCAGACCTCCCCACAAGGAGCCTGCGCAGCCGCTTGGGGTGTGACGCAGCTTAAGGAGGCTTCCAGGTTATAGCCTGGGAAACCAAAGCTGTACATGAACTCCTTTAGGTTCACACGACAGCACTGAGCTGGGTACAGAAGACACACATCCAGCCGGGGGACCAGTCCCACCCTCTGGCCAAGGTCTCTGGGCCCAGCCTTCCCATCTCCCTCTGATCCTGGGACAAGTTCTGAGGAGGACCGTTCTTTCCCAAAGATGGAACAGCCTCAGCCTGGGAGCAGGGCAGAGAGGTGGATGTCAAGACTCAGGTTAAGAACCACATGAAATTAAAAACTGGCTACACAGTTAATGGGTTAAGTATATAAAGACGCATGTATGAGAATGCTTGTTATAGCACTGCCCAGAAGAATCAGGAAAAAAGTAAACCATCCAATAGGGGTTTATTAAATTATGGTACTTTCACTCCACGGAATCATATGTAGCATTTACAAATAACACAGTCCTATATTGGTTGATGTGAAAAACTACTCATAACACTATAAATGAAATGGCAAGTTATAACACTATGCATTTTAATATCTACATATGATTATATAAACATACAAGCCCAGAAAAAATCTAAAATCTAAAAATGCAAAAGGACATATACCAAAACACTAATTATAGGATTATGGGCAATTTAAATATTCTTTAGACTCTTTTGTTTACAGTTTGTTTTTCACTGTGACTTATAATCAAAGCACAACAGGACTGCCTATGTTTTTACTTTGGTCGCCAAGTCTGTCCTTTGAGGTTTTGTGAAAATCTTCAATAATCTCTGACCAGCGACACCTCCATTCTCTGCTGAAGAGCCCCCTAGCCCTGCCTCCCTGCCCATTTAAGGGAATGCCCACTGAACATGCTGGCTTACCACTTATTTTCAACTTCTCATTGAACACACGAGTTTCCTCCTTAGGCTAACATTTTAACAGCTGTAATGTTAACTGTCACCCTGTTTTGCCAGAGTGACATACACAGAGTCCCCCGAGCTCAGCGCCCATGTCCTAGGACCAAGATGCCAACCACTCTCACCTGTAGCGATTCCATCGAATAGAGACAGCACCCGGATGGGCTTCCTCTTCTCAGCTGGGACAGGTGGGTAAACCTTCGGAGGGTCCTAGCAGCCAGCACAACAGGCCAGGTGAGCATCCAGGAATGTACCGCAGACCCACACCTGGGGCAGGCCTCTCTGCCGATTATGAGCACTTGGACCCTCCGGACCCCCACACCCCTGGCTGGCAGCGCAGGCACGGCTACACGGTGCTCAGGACCTCAATCCAGTGCTCTCGCTTTGGCAGAGTCTGCCCTCTGGCTCTGGCAGGTGGGGGTTGAAAAGAGCTGCCCTCCACCCAGCACCCAGCACTCACGAATTCCTGGTCATGGTTGTTGGCGAAGAACATCTGGAGCCGAGACGGCCAGTCGTCCCGCCGCCGCAGCAGCCCGTAGGTACCCTTGTGCCCACACATGTAGCAGTTCCAGGGGTCTTCCTTGATGGCTGCCTGCGCAGCCCCTGGCCCCACCAAGAGATCCACACATTCCACGCAAAAGCACCTGGAAGGAAGCAAGGGGAGCGGAGGGAACGCTCACCCCCAGGACAGGATGGAGCGTGGCTGTGGCTGCAGCGCTGGGCAGAATGGGCAGCGAAAGTCCAGGTGCCAGGCAAGGAGGAGTGCACTGCCTTCGGGGCAGGGCCTCACCTGCAGCAATTGTTGTTCCCACACATGAGCACCTCGCGCCCCCCGCAGCAGATGGTGCAGTAGGACTGATAGCCGTCATCATCGTACTGGTACGCGCATTCCAGGAAGCAGTTCTAGGGAGCAGTGTGGAGGTTCAGAGACCAACGGGCAGAGCAGCACCCAGGCCAGCCAGCACAAAGACAGGCGGTAAACCCAGCCTCCGGGCTCTCCCCTTGGAACCTCGATACAGCCCTAGAGACACAACCCTGCCACCCATCCAGTCAGGGTTCCGCCCGGACCACACATCTGGGAAGGGGACGCCGTGGGGAGAGGCACCCTAACCCTAACTCAACGACCTGTCCTGCCCCCACTTCACACTAGTGACTGTGACATTGTGAGCCCGCATCTGGAGACAAGAACCAGGCCTTAGACTGGAGGCAAGGATCTCTCAGAGGAAAAGCAACAGCAGGTCAGACACTTGAACCCCCAGGGTCCATATTATCAGGACTCTGCATCAAGAGCAAACCTGAGTCACCCTTATAGCTACCACACGTGCTACAGCCCAGAGGCCAGGAGGTGTGGTCAGCCCAGGGCCTTGTCTCTGCTGGGTGTGCCCTACCTTGCAGTTTTGGCACATTCCTCCGATGAAGAGAGGGTGTTCCAAGGTGACGTTGAGGCTCCCACAAGAGATGCAAATGTCTGGAACAGCGGAGGCAGAGTGTCACTGAAGGACCCCCTGCCGCCTGGGGCCCAAGCCTGGCTCCAGAAGAGCTGTGTCTAGTGGCGTGCTGGAGTGTCAGCCAGAAAAGGCGGCAGGAAGGCATCTGGGAGGGGCCCCATGGAACAGGGAGGCCATGCGGCCCCATCCCAGAAGGCTACTCATCTCCCAGAGCAGCAACGCCGCCTTCCAGGAAAAGCACGATATGAGGACAAGAGCCTGCCTGCAAGAACAGGCCGGACCTCGGGTCACTCTGGAGATGTCCCTGAGCAGCCAGTCCTCAGGGCCTGGGCCCCTGCTCCCATCCTTCCCAGCCCTGAGGTCCCCAAGCTGGACACACCATCACTTGGCAAAGGGAGACAAGACCTGGGAGGCACTAATGACCATCAGAGGAGAGAAGGTGGAGAAAAGGTAAAAGGGCCAAGCTCAAATCCAGACTTCCCCGGTGGCTTAGGTGTAAAGAATCCGCCTGCAATGCAGGAGATGCCGGTTCAATCCCTAGGTCAGGAAGATCCCCTGGAGGAGGTTACGGCAACCACTCCAGTATTTTTGCCTGGAGAATCCCATGGACAGAGGAGCCTGGCAGGCTACAGTCCAGGGGTTTGCGAAGAGTCGGACACGACTGAAGCAACTTGAGCCTGCACGCAAGTCCAAGAGAGGGCACCTTTCTCTGACCCACAACCCTAATGACCAGCCCCTACCACTGACAGGGAAGACTGTGGCACCGGGAAGGCAGGTGTGTGTCGAGCAGGCTGGAGGCGGTGGGAGGCACGGGACAGGGCCATCTCTAAGTACCCCTGGCCCACAACAGCAGCCGTTCCCTGGCACCTTACTGCTCTGTGCCGGCCACCACCTGTGGGCCTCATGTCCACCCGAAGGACCCACATGCTGGCCCATGGACAACAAATAACTGACTTCCCAGAGTCAACACCCAGCAGCCCCTCACGACTCACCCTCGATGTTCCGGCACTTCTGCCGTACCTCGTACACCAGCCGCTCTGGGAGGGGAGGAGAGCGTGCCATTAGAGGGGCCCTCGAGGGCCACACCCACCCCTCTGAATGCCGGCCTCACCCCACCACGCCCTCCAGAGGCCACTCCCTCCAGAACCAGGCCCACTACCTCTTGTGCGTTCATCAATAATCTCCTTGACCTTAGGCTTCTCCGTTGTGCTCTTTCGGGGCTTTTTGGCTGGTGGGGGCGGCGCATAGGCAGCTGCCTCGGGTTCAACCCACATGTCTGTGTAAACTTCTTTGTAGGGGTTCTTCTCCTCTGGATCAGGGAAGCAGGTGAGGAGACCACGGTTACCGCTGACAAGGAACCCCAGCTCCCTCCCCTGCACATCTGCCTACAACAACAAGGGGGTGCAGCCCGGTCCCTAACTTGTTCCTACTCCCAACTCTCTGGGGCCCGCAAGCCAATGGGGAACAGGTCATTCAGAGTCCCAGAGCAGCCCTGTCCCTACCCTGACCCCAGGGAGACGGGGACGGTAGCATTCCCACGGGCCACTGTGATGGGAGAGAGACCTTGTAGGCCCCCCTCAAGCATGGCTCCCCCAGCCCAGGCATGGAGTTGCTGGTGCACCTGCATGTACCTTCTGGGGGCTCCAGGCCCTTGGGGCCAGAGGGCTGGAACCCTCCCAGGGCCCACTCGATCATCTGTTTGTTCTGCACCTCCACAGCCTTGGCAGTGTCGCTCTCGTCGCTGTCATGGCACATTGGAAACAGCTTCCCTGCTCGGCTGCTGGCCACCTGGGGGCAACACGTGTGGGGGAGGCTGTCAGGAGAGTAGCGAAGGTGGGCTCAGCCAAGAGGCGGGAAAAGGTGCAGAAAGGGGGCGAGTGAGGAGAGGAGGCCAAAGGACCTCACAGGTGGACCCTCTGCCCAAGCCTAACCCTGGGCTCCAGCCCCCAGATGGAGCCCGCCCCCACACCCCACCCGCCCCTAAGCCCCTTGGAGGAGCACTGACCTGCAAAACCTCGTAGATGGCCTTGCGGTACATGGGCTGCTTGTTGTAGGTGGCCTGGTGGAAAGCACTGCAGAAGGAGCTCAGCGGCATCAGCTTCTCCACGCACACCTGGAGGCACAACCCGCCTCATTTGCACCTCTTCCCAAGCTCATCGAGCACCCACCACATGCCTGGCATGGTGGGGTGGGGGGGCATTAAGACCCGCCTCTGCCCTCGGGAGGACTGGATGCACCAATAAGTAATCACAGAATGCAAAGGAAGAGTCCAGCCCCAGATGTGGGGAGGACCTGACGCAGGTGGAAGGGCATTCCGGGTAAAGGGTTCCTGGAAGGCAGCCGGACTCTCCAAGTACGACCTCATTACCTCTGAGGATTCTTCCAACCACACATTCGCAGAGTGGGGATGAACACAGCTCCCTCTCCTATGATCCCATTCCAACCACACCCCCAGCCCAAACCAGAGACCCTGGGACCAAGACCCCTTCCCATCCCCACCCCCCAGGCCACCACCGAACCCCCGACTCACCACTGAGAACTTGCCGTCTCCAAACCACATGACCCAACGAGTGCCTTCCGCTGCTCGGCTCCGGCCCGTCATCCACCAAGACACAATGCGGCCTGGCCACCAGGAGAAGCCCCGCAGTTTCCCCCACACCAGCTCCCCAATGCCAAAGCCCCGGCCGTCCTGGAGCCCCAAGGAGCAGAAGTCATTACAGGGTGGTCACAAGGCCCTGCCACCCTGCTTCCCCCCACAGCACCCCCAGCCCTGGACGTCTGAGGGTCACGACAGCCGGGAGGGAGCTCCATCGGAATGGACAGAGCAAGACTGGAGAGACCAAAAGACGTGGGGTCAGGTAGAGAGAGCAGGACAGGAGGAGCCGGACGAGGTGGGTGAAGAAGCCAGCGGCTCACCTCGTACTCCGGTTCATCGTCAGCTGCTTTGGCGGCGTTCTTGTCCCCAGCATCAGCCCCCACAGGCTCAGGCGTGGTGGCCACCGTGGGGGACGCAGGGTCGGTGGGCTGCTGCACGGCGGGAGGACTGGCCTCCTCCACCTTCTGAGACTCAGTGGACCCCTGGTTTTCTTCAACAGCATTCATTACTGCAATCACCTTGGCTTTCTTCTCAGCCTGGGGAAACAAGGAACAGAAGTTACCCTGATCTGATACTCAAGGGGCACTTCTCAATCTCTCCGTGGTCTGGAGATCATGACAGGTTAGGGGCTGGAGACAGGAGTTCTCTCATCAACTCAACGGTCTCGCCATTGAAAACAGAAAGATTTGCAGTTGAGAGGTGAACTCAATCACTTGGCTCAACTCCAGCCTTCTCTTCTACCTCTTAAGAAATCTTCCTCCCTCAACTAATCTTCCTCAATGGTCAGCATCATCAATTGCCCACCCTCTGATATGCATCAATTATATGCAGAGACTATTCTGTTTAGATACCAATCATGCACCTAAGATTAGGCACAGACCTTGGCTCCATCCTTTCTTATCTTACTCCCCAGTCTAGAAACAGATTCTCTTGTTCTTTTCTCCACAGTTTTCCTGGGCAGTCGACCCCTTCTATTCCTGGTCTTGGCTTCCACACAATTCTAGTTTTGCTGTGATGTCTAACAATGAAATCACTATTTTGTGTTCAGAGTGCTCAGTTCTTTTCCCATCTGCTCAACCACCACCACAAGACCCAGAAGAGCTTGCCTGCTCTCCTGCTCACACGCCATCCTGTAGTTCTCAGGATTATATCTAACATACTTGGTCATCAGATTCTATGCCTTCTTTCTACGTGCACCTTTCAGATCCATCAATGTATTCATTCTTTCAACAGATTTAGGGAGTCCACAGTACACCCAGGCATCCTCTCTGCCATCCCACTGACAAACCCAAGGATTCACCCAACCTGAACAGCCTCCATCCTTTCACTGTTTCATGCTCTTCTTTCAGACTGTGACCTGCAGGCCCATTCCTTCTCAAAACCTACTCCAGGATTCCCATCACCCTTGTTTAGTCACTAAGTCGTGTCCGACTCTTTGCGACCTCATGGATTGTAGCCCACGAGAATTGTCTCTCCATGGGATTTCCCAGGCAAGAATGATGGAGTGGGGCTGCCATTTCCTTCTCCAGGGGGATCTTACCAACCCAGGGATTGAACCCACGTCTCTTGCATCTCCTGCATTGGCAGAAGGGTTCTTTAAAACTGAGCCACCAGGGAAGCCCTCCCATCACCCTACAGAGGATGAAATACCTGACAGTTAGCTGAGGGGCATTCCACCTAACCTCACCCCAACTATCGAATCTAGGACACGTGGCCTTCAAACTTTAAGGCTCTGCCCCCATTTTCACCACACCAGATTCAAGGGGGAAAAAAATCCCATCATCAAAATAACACTTTCCCTGAGAGTTCAGAGCTGTGAATACAAACCCATCCTCAAGATTACCTGGAGAACAAGACCTCCAAGTTGGAAGTCACAGAGTTTACATTCCTGTCTTAGCCTTGCTACTAATTAATAGCTGACTTTGGAGCAGTTCCTTAAGTTGCTCCACCTTAAAAAGGAGTTTGAACTGACAGATTGCTGTTAACCTTTTCTGATTGGTTTAAGAATATGATTTATGCATGTACCAGGAGTTCTAAGGACTCTCTGAAGCCTGTCCATGGACCCCCAGGTCCCCAGTTAAGAACAGCTCAAGGGTCTACTGTCTCTTAGATGCATTTTATTTTGTTCTATCTGCAAGTCTTTGCCTCCCAGCCACAAACCAAACATGCTTCTTACAGCAATTCCTAAAACCTGAGGGTGGAAGTCCTAGTTCTTTCTCTAACTCAAATTCTACAGTGGGATAAAGCATCCTTTGCTCCCAAAGCACCAACAGCTGGAAGAATGAGCCCTTGGAGATCAGGGGGTGGGAGAATGCAGGGTTACCGCTCCTCCCTCCCCAGCCCCACTCTCACCTGGGGACTCTGCCCCACCCCAGCCTAAATCAATTATCTACCTCCTCCTCCCCTACAGGAAGGTGTGTCTAGATGTGCACTCAACTCCTGAGGGGAGAGGGCTTCTTCTCCAGGATTGTCAGCTGCAGCAGCACTATCCCAGTACCAGATGTGCTCAGATACAAGTGTGCCTCGCTGTCTCTGCTCCCTTCCCTCCACCGCGCAGGCCTCTGTGAACCTCAGGCATGGATGCTGATCTAGACCAGGGTGCTGCCTTGGATGACCCAAAGCCCCAGTTTCCAGGGGGTGACGGCCCCCTCAGCCAGAACAAAGAGTGCAGATGGAAGAGGATCTACAGCCAGCAGCACTGGGCGGGGGGCACGCCGGGCACCCCCCTCCACATCCCCTAGTCTAGAAGGGAGTCGTGCCTGCCACCACTCTCCTGACTCCCCCTCAGCCCCTTTGTCTCTCTTTTCACCCCCTCCAAAGCAAGTGCCTGAACATTCTTCTTCCCCCACAACTTCCCCCAGCTTGTCAGAGGATGCTGCTGATGGCTGTTAAGCGCCCCCAACCCAGTAGGTGCAGGAGAACACGCATCCAGCATGGTCTGGCAGGCACTGGAGGAGGAAGGGGCCTCCAACAGGACCTGGCCAGCAGGAGTGGGGGAAGGAAGAAGAGGGGGGGGTGGGTGAGCAGCAGGAGGCAAGAGGAAAGGGGAAGAAGGGGCGAGAGGGTGGCTGGGTGGGGGAGGGGCTCATTAGAATAGACTTGCCTAGGGCAGTGCGAGAGGGCTGGGCTTCCACGTTCGTGCCAACCCTCCTCCCCAGGCAGACAATAGGAGAAATAAGGGTTAATTAACTCTGGGCTTGGGCTTTGGGGCTTACAGCTCCCATACACCTCCCCACCACCTCAGTTCAGAAGGTCCCAAGCCAGAGTAGCCAAGAGAGTGGGCAGGATGAAGACACCACCGCAGCTCCACTACGGGCGGCCCGGGAGGCCACTTGGCCTGGAGTTTGTTCGGCCTGGAGAGCCACTGGCAACTCCACTCTGGTGGAGGCAAGGCCTCCCCATCCAGTCCCATGTCTTCGGGCAGCTGTCCCGCCTCCACCTCCCTCCGGACTCAGGCTGCTTCCCATGCCAAAGGTCAGAGGTCTAGGGGCCCAGGTGGATGCCCGCTGGGGCAGCACACCCGGGGCTGTTCCCGGTGCCTCTGCCATCCCAGGCCGGCATAAGGCCACCCCACATCCCCGTGTCAGGGTCGCACTGCTCCCTCCCACTCCGACACCACTTCTTTCTGGTGGCCTGACGGCGGCTCCCAGGAACACACAGGAGAGGGGATCATCCCTCCTGGGAGTCCACAAGGTTGGCACGGCCTGAGGACAGCGTGGTCCATTAGCCAGGAACACAGGTCAGCCAGGAAACGCCAACAACCCATCTGCCAGCCAGCTCAGCAAAACCGCTGCCTCCAGCCCAACTCCACGGGACGGAGTCTGCCCCCCAGCCTTTGCTGACCACTGCTCCAGGCTCAGGCCAGGGCTGCTCTTCCTGGCCCCGGAGCCGCCAGGTCCCACCTGAGAGCAGGGAGGAGTGGGGCTTGGGGTTCCTGAGCAGAGAGTGGGTGGGACGGCAGTAACTCAGCATCTCCAGAACTCAGGCCAGGCAGGGCAGCCAGCTCCCGCGGGCCGGGGAGGCAGACTTGACTCTTCTCAACCCAGAGGGCTGCAGGCCCAGAGATCCTCCCACCGGCCCCTGCCGCCTCCCCGCCCCCAGTTTCCCCAGGGCTCCGTCCAGGAACCTACCCATAAGGCCAGGTGCAGCCCCTCGGTGGTCCAGCTCAGGTGTGAGCCCCGGCCCTGAAGCTCTGTAAGTAGCTGCCCGTCTGGGGGGAGGGGAAGGGGGCGATGGGGCTGGGGGGCGGAGGGGGCCAGAGAGAGGGGGAGGGGGGAGGTGGGGGGGAGGGATTGAACATTTTCTTTGTCTAGAACTCCAGGTCACGTGGGCCCCGCTGGAGTGCCTGGTTGGCTGCGAGCGGGCCGGGGGAGGGGGCCGGCTCTCAGACGCTGGCAATGGGCCAGCCCCTCTCCTCCGGTCCGAGGGGCGCGGGCCGGCGCAGGGGCCTGGGGGCGCGGCTGGGCCTCCGCCCATTCCTGGGGCCCCGCCCAGGCCAGGCTGGAGGCGGTGGCCGCACCATCCCACCGCGCGGCCTTCCCTGCCCCCGCCCCCCCGCCCCGACTCGGCCCGAACCGGGCGCGGAGCTGGGGGCGAGGCCGGGAACCCGCGGACAGCGCGGGGAGGGAAGGGGCTGCGCTCCAGCTGCGGAGGTAAGCTGCGAGCGCCCCGACAACTGGGAGCGCAGACGAAAGGAGACAGGAGCTTTCGGACTGTCTGGGACAGCCAGGAGAAAGTTGTTAAAAGTGAGTCTCTCCGCAGCGCAACCAAAAAGAAAAAGGAAAAGCTTACAAACGAGCGGAGAGGCCCAGGAAGCTGTAGGAAAATTCAAAGCACACAGAGGGACAGAAAGCGCCCACACAAAACCGGGAGCGCTCCAGAACGAGAACTGGGGTTGGGGGGGCGGCGAGAAGGGGGGGGTCTCCTCTTCACACTGCCAGTGGATAGAGCTGTGCCTTAGCGTGGTGTGAGGAGTTCAGGCTTAGAAAATCACTTCCTGACCAAGTCCTTGGGTCCCCTGGGTCATTCTGGGTCTGCCTTCGATGTCTCATTTTTCCTGTTTGCAAGGTGCAGGGTTGGGGGTGGGGTGGGGAGAAGGAGTTCAAAAGTATAGCAACACCTTTATTCCCAGCACTAACATCTGCAGCTCAAGACTCCATTCCTTCTCTGGAGCCTCCAGGTGGAGCCTCCAGTTACACCTTCAACCATTTCATGCTCCCTCCTCCTGAGCAGAGGCCCCTCCCCCCAGGGAGAATATATACATATATATATATATATATACACACACACACACACACACACACTCTCTCTCTCTCTCTCCACACCCCGCCCCCCTCCCCCCCCCAGCAACCCAGAAGCAGACTCTGTTGGCCCTGCCTTCAAGGAGCTAACAAATTCAACTAGACTTGGGGTAATTGGAAAAGGTCATTGAAAAGCATCTCTAAATAGAACTATACCACCAATACCAAGTCCAGTGGGCCAGGATGGCTTGGAAGCCAACCAAAAACAAGTAGTAGGAGTGATAAGTGAGGTTAAT